CGGGAGGAGGGCGGGCGCGCGCCGCACTTGCTCGCCCAGGGCGCGCGGCACCGACGTGCGTGCGCGCTTGTTTACCGGCGCACGTGGGTGTTATTTTTAAATGGAATGGAGTGCTGGCTGCGCCGCGGCGGCGGAAGCTTGGGGCCGCAGGCGGGAGCTGGGGGANCGCGGCTTCCCAGGGCGCTGCTCGCGGGCAATCGAGGCTGTCCCCACTGCGGGCTTCCAGCGCAGTCCGCAGCTCCGCCGGGGAAGCCTGACAGTGAGTTTCACGCTCTGCCCCAGCCTCAAGGTAGATTACATGTTCCCGCCAGGGAACACTTCCTTCTTTACCCCGGGCACGGCTCCCGCATTCATATTCCGGGAACAAAGCCAGCTGCTTCTCGTCGACCTGGAGGCCGTTCCAGGCCAGGCTGCGCGGCCACCGGTTGCGGAGCAGATTTCGTACACTCACATACTCACGAGCACACAGCGCCCTGGCCGCAGGCTGACTCTCATCACCCTGCGTGTTTTGTGCCCTCGCTCTCTTGCTCTGAATGTCCCCAGTACCTTCGTGCCTGCCCATCTCGGGCTTACATTTCTGTCCACGCACAAATGTGCTCCCGCTCCTTCGGGTTATCTTTAGAAGGAGAATGCTGGAGAAGGGGCCTCTGTCTGCTTCTGGGGGTTGCTCCTCAGCGCGCATGTGGCTCCTCTTGTGGGCCTGCCTGGCTGAGGAGCCCTGAATTTGCATTTGGTTTATAGCCTGATGTTGCGGAGCGTGATGTACAAAACAACTGTCAGCTTCAAAGGCCCATTAAGTGGGAGTAAGGGGCGGGGGCTGGAGGACATTACCTGGAGTCTGGTGGTCAGCTTTGAGGGTAACAGAGAGGCCTGGGCTTTGCACCGTGATACTGCATAAACGCCAAAGAACTCTCAGCTTCTTTTTAATACTTTAACACACTATAAAAGAAATCCACTCTTTTGCTTCTCTAAATCTAAGCAATCTTCTGTCACTAAAGTGAAGACGTAGAAAGAATGTGTTTGCACTGGCTGGGCTCTTGGCCATTAGATTTTTCACTAAAAACATGTGTCCATTTTCAGAATGCATATCCCAAGGGTATCCCAAAAAATGGAAGAGTTAAAGGTTCAGTAGATCAACTGAGCTCATTGTGACCCTCTTGGTAAGGAATGGGGGTGGGGAGCATGACAGAGCCATTTCTCTCAAAGAGCTTACAGTCTGAGCTTAAGACATACAGTATTAAAAACTTCAGTATTTCAAGAGTTTATTTGTGTTGTATTTGTACAACACAAATACAAGACTTCATACATAGAGTATTGGGTAAATTTCAAATGAATTGAGGTTCAAAACTTCAAATGGCAGTGGCTATAAATGTTCAGCCCAGTAAATGTGCATCTTACCCAAAGAATTTACTGTTGTAATTTGTCCTAATGGCCAACCTTTGAAAACTCAGAGGTTGACTCTCAGTGATTTTTCTGTTTTATCCTAAAATTGCTTTGATCTTAAAGGCCTCCTTGGTCCTTTCCCACCCCACCTCCAACCCTTTTTTTTCCTCTCAAGTTTTTAGTATATGAAAGCTGAGTAAGTTAAGGTTGTTGATCAAGAAGTAATGCC